AGTAAAATAATATCAACACACTCCAAGAGGCCAACTATGATAAACATTAGCAACTTGTAACTTATGGTCAATAACCAACCAGAGGACTTTAACCACAATATTAATAGTTTGTTGTCATTTACTAATTACTCCCTGTGCAACAAGAAAGTTAAGAACATTTGCCTGTCTGTCCATCTCAAAATATCACTCGGATGTCTTAAAATCTCTGCTGGCCCTGCTAGTACCGAGAGGCAGTGACTAACGTGAAGATAAACTGACAAAAAAAACAAGTAAAGCCAGTAATAAAGATTAGACATGATATAAATCCCTTTTCCATTTCTTCCCTCTCATATGCCACCTGTATTTAATGCTACTATTCTTAATTGTTCATTCCTGTTCCTCTCGCCACCTATCTACTACTACTGGTTTTCTTGAACAACACTCATTAGTGACCATTTTCAAAGGGCATAACCCTAGGGGACACCAAGGTAAATTTAAACAATGTTGAACTAATACTGAAGTGGGTATCAAAACATAAAAATTGAAAATTATGACAAGAAAACAAAATGCAGTACATACAAATAAGAGAAAACCTTAAAAAGAATATCCAAAAGACATCTAACTCAAAATTTCTTTATAAAGCCAAATCCAAAGAACTCAATCACATTCCATTCAAACTATACTGAGTGGAACAGGTGCATGAAACCTCCGTATACAATTGGCTGGTAAACAATAATTTTTCTGTTTAATGCAAGATGACCAAAAAACAAGATCAAATACATACATACAACACACAGTTACATGTTCATATACACCTCCCCCTTTTGTCTCTATTCACAATCATTCATTCATCCTTACTGATGTCGTAAGTGCATGCTACTGTGGTACTTCCAATCCAAACTAACTCCCTAAGTCATGTTTATCAGTTGCATCACTGAAGCCAGCATTACCCCACCTGCTGTCATTTTTCTTATACAGTACATCCACTCCATCTCAACCTCTCTAGTCACTCATTAATACTGTTGCTACTTGGATGTCTTACAGTTCCTTCTCCATCTTTTCTATCTTCCCTGTCCGTCCGTCCTTCCTTCCACCCCAAGATTCTCGCACTAATCATGCCAATCGTTCAATTCCCCCATCCTCTCAATACATTTATACACCCCCCCAAGCAGACCCTGATATCCTCCCTGCCCAACACTGTTTTTAGTTTTATATCTTATTCCTGTACAGTATTTCTTATTCTCTTAAAATCATATATATTTACCCCACATATTGCTCAGAAAAGGTATTATTTCTGTTGCCTTTGTTTTGTTCTTTCCCCTTGCATCTAGAGTCAATGTTTTACACCCCCCCCCCAAAAAAATGACAATGCCAACTCAACAATTAGCTACCCTGTACATCCTCCATCTTTGTCCCTCCTCTCTCTCTCTCTCTCCATACATTTTCAATCAACCTACAGCCCTTTTCTTTTGCACTGCTCTATGGAGTAATTCTTTACTCATCATTCATTCTGTCATATCCACTCCTAGATATCAACCATTCCACTTCCTCCAGTCTATTTCTGTCTAAGTTATCATTTATTTCTCTCTTTTCTCCTTTATTTCATCACTTAACATTTCTTCTTCATGTTCACTATACAGTATACACTTTCACTTTCCTTATACACACATTTCCAAATCCGTTCACAGACACCAAGTAACCTTTCTTTTGAGCTGCCCACCACTCGCTTACATTTCACATCATTTACCAAACTTGTGCCACTCTCCATCACTCTCTTACTACCTCACCCATGAAAATATTAAACAATGATCGTGACATTACGCATCCATGATATTTGCCAACTTTTACTGGGGGCCAATTTCCTCTCTTTTAAATTCTTAGCACATGTTCATGATCTCTATAAAATATCAGAACAGATTTCACAGACTTCACATTTAAGTTTTAACTCGCATATCCAAAACACTCCCATCAATCTACTCTGTGCTTATCAAAATCTGTAAATGCCACAATCAAATCCTTTCCCTCCAGTAGAAACTTGATACACACCTCCACTTCCATTTCTGAACCCACACCAATCTCCCCTAAATACTCTTAGTCTTTGCCATAAACATCTCCTTAAAACAAATCTAACAAGCTTATCTCTACACCTGTAATGGTCATATTCAATCTCATCACTTTTCCTCTCCCCTTCGGCACACTTCCTGCTGTCGCACACAACACACCCTTTCAAGCTACTACCCTGACACACTTCACTGAAAAATATAAATGGGCCTATCTAATAAAATGTTCTCCTGGAAAATGTTTAGTTATAACAAATGTGGAAGAATGTCAAGATCCCAGCAAAACTGAATCTATCCTATGGCATATTGTCTCGAGAGCTTCTTCTGGGAGTATAGACGGCAACACGATATCGTAAGACATCAGCAAAGTTTCCGACTCACTATCTTTGAGGCACGAAGTATCTTCCTCCGTCAAGTTCATTGTGCGGCATAACTAGCGAACAATATATGATGTCCATATTCGTTAATACACAGGATATATGTAACATACAAGATTAAAGTGGAAAAGGTACGTACTAAAGGCATGGCAGAGAGTATGTATAGTTACCTGTATAATGGGAGAAGTAATAACAATGAAAAATTACTATAGGAATAAGTATGTTCAGTATATGAATAATATGCATGACAGTTATCCTTGGGGGGAACTGTAGCAAACACATGAGTGTATTTCAACATATGCTGTGTGTGATTTTGTTAAGAATTTCTACCCAACTGCTGTGAACCACTAATCTGAATGATTACGAGATCAACTTACTAAGAGTACCTATGACATTTTTTCTTCAATTTATTCAATAAAATAAACATAACCCTTACTTTAATTCTATTTCCTACTCATCATTTTATCCAACAAAAACACGACTGCCATGGCTAGTTGACAGTTAGTGCGGCAACTATATTTTATCACAAAAACAGACTTCGGTGAGCATTAAAAATCATGTGGTTAAGGGACATTCCAATGCCAAAAGTAAATTAAGAATCTAAAGGTTTGAACTGTACCACCATTGTACTGTGAATCATCTTCAGTTGATGAGTAATGTATGCAGCAGTCTAAAACCCAGTACTGAACCAAATCCCTTGGTGATGTGACACAGAATGAGTTGTCTGTGAAAACCTGATGGCAAATCTCCTTGATGCACGGTCTCTTGCACCCTTGTCAGTTTTTTTTTCTCTCCCCATGCCATTCTAGGCCTACCCATAGCTCCCTCTCCCCTTCACATTCAAAATCCTACATCACTAGTCCCAGCTGGTCTCTTCCATTCTCTTCACATGCCCACACCATCTTGGCCAACCTATCCACAAAATCTTGCCAATACTCTCAAATACCCAACTGTCCTTTTAGCTCTGAAGTTTCCTTTTCTTCTGGGTCACATTAAAGATCCATCCCACCATCCTCATTTCAGCTCCAAGCTTTGAATGTCATTCTCTCTAACTGCCCATGTTTCACTACCTACCATATATCATACTTCCTATGTCAGCTGCACACACCTATCTTTTCACACAAAGAAAAGGTCCTCTTTCTTCAAGCCATTTTTTATTCTTAAAACTGGGGTAGCCTCACAATACCCAGTACTGATCTTGTCACCCAAGTCACCCAAGTAACGGGTCACATCAGGTCATGAATAAATAATATGGTATAGGATTTATCATGATACTGAACTTTTTTCTCAAATTACTTCATATGCAGTACTTCCTAATAAGAGCTTGTAACATGTAGTGATTGTATGATGTTACTTTAACTTAACCCAACACACAATTTTGCTCAATTATGTTTTACAGTCAATATAAACAATGATATGTAGTGATTAAAAAATTGAGTGTGTTTTAACAAGAACTAAGCTAAATAAAAACATTATCATTCCTTTCAGCCTAAAGCTAGAGATCTCCCACCAGGTGAATGTCAACTGAGAAGATGCAGAGGAATTTAAAGAAACAGAAGCCATGTGGAATAGAAAGAAAAATAAGACTACACTTAAGGCACATAACTTGTGTGCTGAAATTTCAGTACCCTGGAAGGGATTGGGTTACTCATTGACAGAGAAAATGCATCCCTGCCTCCCCCCTCTCCCAGGTGCATCCCTAAAGGTCTGCTTATGTGGTATACTGTAAGCATCCTGGGAGAATTGGGAGTTAAAGATCAATAAAAACGAGTCCCTACAAGTCAGAGATGGACGGTTCGTGGAAGACGACCATGGCCAAAATGGTTATACGTACAAGGATAGCAGAATGGACACCCACAAAGATGCAATGTGTATGAATGAGAGGATAGCAGGATGCAGCCAATTGTTATGCCAAATTGTGTGAAGTAAAGAGAATAAATTAGACTTGGAGACTATGGAAAGGGGGAATAAGCCACTGGCAACAAATTAAAATAAATATGAACGAGTATTTAAACAGGAAAAGGCTTGGTAGGAAAGATGAAGAAAAATAGGAAGATCTAAGTAAGCATGAAACACCTTATATTACAGTATATAGGAAGCACTTAAATTATATTGTTTTATTTGTTCATGTGTCTTTTCCATGTTGTAACACACACACACACAGGGCCATCTAATACTTACCTAAAAGTGTATTCCAACACATATTCATAAACAACGATTAAAAAATATAACGCTAAACAAATTTCCAAGACTAAAGATCACATACTACACATTTTTTGTCAATTTCTCATCATTTCACCAATCACCACTTTCATTCCTTAACACCATCCTCCACTTTTCATACATCTCACCCATACACCATCCTCATATTCTCATTCTCAATTTCATCATCCTCTACTTTTCATCCCCAACACCATCCTCCACTTTAATCACTTCTTTCAAAACACAAGGAAAAAAAATTGGGTCTTAATTTGTAAAGTTCATTTTATCTGTGAGGTATGACAAACCTGTTCCATTCAATTTAGTTGGGAAAAGATCCCAAGTGTTAGATATAAAGATAAAATAATCAAGAACACACAAATACCTTGCTTCATTGCTACGGTCACTGGGAACAGAAAAAGAAACTATTAAAATACTTCAGAGTGACCAGTCATGGTGGTCTTCTAATTATATTAATATATAACAATAACATCTAGAAATATTCAGAATTACCCAAGAAAATGCAACATTTTCCAAGTTAATCCCAGCAAATTAATTTTTTTTGTGCATTTGGCCCATTTCTAATGAATTTTTATCTCTTTGTAAACTTTAACTCTTGTTCCCAACTAAATGGGAAGGAACAAGTGCTACAGTCTCAAAACAAATTCATTTGCAATCTATTTCTGAATATATTAAATTGACAATGTTAATCATGACATGCGTGTTTCACTAATATTTTCATCTGACATACACACCTGGGTGAGCGGGAACGTGAACGCCTTGGGGAGCGTGAACGGGAGCGACCTCGACCACCACCAAAGCGCCGTGGAGAGCGAGACCTGAAATAACCAAAGACTTATCACTGTTCTATTTCAAATTATGATTTTCATCTATATGCTCTTGGACGTAACCACTTCTTGAGACAGGAACACTGCTTTAGCAAAAGAAATTATATTTTCTTTTTTAGAAGGATCAAAGGAAACTCATTATACTATAATATCCAAAATCCTGTGCCATGGAAAGTGAACAGCTGCAAAAATTATAATGCTGTCCAGCCCTCTCCCACAAACCACCTGGGTAACAACCATGAGTACCCTGCTAGAGATTCAAATGTTCAAGGCAAGTATAAAACAAATGAACCTTCTACAGGTAAACAATCACTCCTCAAGGTATCATCATCCTTAATGACAGGATGCATACCTACGCTTGATTGATTATCACAAACTGGTAGTTTGTGACAACTGATCAAATGGTCAAATACTGAGTGGTGTACCGTCACAGCAGGATGGTCGTTATGATGAGCCGAGGCGCGATGTATGTAAGAAAGTGGAGCGAGCGTTGAAGGGTCAGAGACCCAAGATGGTGGGTGGGGGGGCAGGCCTGACGGTGCGCAGGCAGCGGGCGGGCGATGGGCGGAGGGTAGACGCAGATGGGCGGGGAGAAGAGGACACGTGAAGCGCTTAAGGGCTGCCCGGGTGCCATGAGGTGCCGCGCCGTAGGAGGGTCATCAGGCAACGTGATGCACACCACCACCTCTGCCAGGTTCGGCTGACTAGGGTCCACCACCTTACCCAGAACTGGTACACAATACAACCCTCTGATTGTGAAGGTGCATTGTTCACCCTTCAGTAACCAAAGAAATTATTTGATTCACCATGAGATGCATCAAGTTGTGTCACCAGTGTGAGGTCAGGTGATGAGTGGAAGGAAGTCCCAACAGGAGCTCCAACCTCCCCTACAACCCAAGACTGGAAGCCCACTGTACAAGCGGGCTGACGCTGCTGCTAGCAGTGGTGGTGGTGGTGGTGGAAGTACTTGTGGTGGTGGTGGTGGTGGTGGAGTTCGTGGTGGTGGTGGTGGTGGTGGTGTGGTAGCAACAGTAGGAGGAGTAGATGGTGGTGGTGGAACAAGAAGTAATTTGGGCGAGATAGTCCTGTAAATGGGCCACACACCACAATTAACATATATCTTTCATAAACAAGTTTTCTTGTGCTCAAAATGTATGAGCTGTTATTTTGATGACAATATAATCATTTAAGAAAGTCTGGAAAATATCTCAGCAAACTGCATGCTTAAGAGCTTATAACTAAACACAAAGACAAATAAATAAAATTCAAATCATAGAAGACAGAGCCCCCCTCCACCCCACCCATGAACCTTAAGTCAATACCTTTCAAAAGATGGGGGAAAATCCTATAGACCCACATGTCCACCAGTGTGGCCTGTAGTGCGTGTATTATCAATGTAAAGTGAGCTTCCACCCTTGAGAGCTTTCCCAAACAAGAGATTATCACCAACCTGTTACCACAACTTAGCTTCCTCCACACAAGAGTTTAACAAGCTTCCACCAACTCTCCAAAATTCAGGTTATGGATATTATGGGAAGGAAAGTTTCATATTTTTAACTTCCATTAATATTTTTAGATCATATTATTAATGAAAGATAATATGACAGAAGTTGTGTTCCTAAAGTGAACAGCCGAATGACTAATATTATGGGCAAAGGCTAACCTGGAGCAGAATGACCTACAACATACAGTTCCTGGATATACTGGCACTCTAAGGTATAAAATTGAACAAGAGATAGTCTTACCTTGACCTTCTCCCACCGCCACCACCACGCCGAGGAGGAGAGTGGAAGCGGTCGCGGCGAGAACGTCCCGTTGACATCTCTACCTTCACTCGTACACCACACAAACGTCTGCAATGACAAAAAGAAAATTGTTTGAAATATTATAGTACATATTAAAATATACAAGGAACATAAAAAATAGGAAACGAACATTAAAATCTGCAATGTTAGGGAAGTCTGGTAGCATTTATTGGTACTGTACTATACCTTTATAGGATTAACATTTATAATTTGAAGTAGGCATATCATTCACACTCAACCCAGCAACTGCTTGTTAATGCCCTCCAGTAGTGCCTGCCATACAAACCACACTACAGTACAGTAGGTCTACCCGTCAAGAATTTTTTCTTCGATATTTTCATCTTGCTCCCCACAGACTCATCTGGTCAAAACACTGCCTATTGATGAAGCATTCACTCCTGTGCTATTACAGTACAGTACTACAGTAGCTACTTGGTATGACAGCATCAATCACCACCTGACAAGCCATGGCGCATAGTTATGTATATAAAGCTTCACAAGCACTGCTGGCAAATACTGTATTCCAAACAATTATTGTGCAAATTGTCACCAGATGAAACAACCAAAGAATCTGTATTATACCACAAACCTATGACTACTAAAAGGTGATACAGTACTACAGAAACAATGAACGAGTTGATAATTCAGTACATACTACACAGCACAGGTGTCAAGTGACACTACACCAGGACATGTGCCACTTTGAAATCTATATATACAGTGTGGGCAGCTTCAATTTTAACTTGCAAAGACAATACAAAAACACAAGCTTCAAGCATCTAGCCAACTGTTGACCGTCTGCCGAGTGTAAATATAGATTGCTCGTGTAGTTGATGGCTGATCCCTCTGCAAACAAGGATGACTTGACCTCCATTACCATGTTCTACAAATTTAGAATGTACTGCACCAGTACATCAAGAAAAAAAAGTACACAAGTTCAAATAAATCACTGTAGTACTGCACTTATGCAATGAATTTATTGATGGAATGGAAAATACTGAACACAAAACCCCATGCCGTACATAACGAATATACCTGTAATTTCGCCACATTATTTGCACAATGAATATGTATAATGGTTCCATAATCACAATTTGGAATGAAAAGGTTTAACCCTGATATTCCAATTTACAGTAGAGCCGTTGAGGGTAACTCGTGTGTAAGACTCCAACAATGTAATTACTGGGTAGTTTGGATCCATGGAACCCTCATCTTGCCAGTTGAAGTTCAACCTTAAGATTAGACATCTCCCTCACAGCAGTCATTGCCTTAAAAAGAGGTCTAAGAAATCAGATACCAGAGGTTTGGAAATTTACAAAATGTGAAACAGAGCAATTTGCACAATTTGTTCCAGCCAATTACTGAAGATACTCCCCCTCCCCTCACATCACACCAGGACCCACATCATTTATAACCCAACATCAATTTTAAATGATTTGTTCGTTATAAACAAATTATGAAGGGGGATGAAGCGGAATGAAAATTCTTAGTGCTACATTACATGCACCCCTTCAACAGATTAAAGAAACAACAATTGACTTTCATAACCCATAGGCCACAAGGTTCTCCTGCAGCATCCTGGACCTCATGAGAACCATTATCCATTCACTCTCAGATAGTAGGCCTCTTGAAAAGGGATTAAATAAAGTTTGGATAGTGACCAGAAATATTAGAACAAGGTGGCAATTGACAGAAGACATAATCAACTACAGATTCCAGGAGTAGTTCCATGCCCAAAACAAGAACTTATTCTAACCTAGGCAACACGTGTTTAGAAAAACCACAGATTTAACTTGAAAAGTGAGGACATAGGAACAAGATCATTTCTTCCGCTTTCTGATACTTTACAAAGTTGGAGATGGCAAGTGAATAACATTTGCCATAGACAAAGCTGAATCAAGAGAGGAACTAGATTCTACTGTACTAAAATGGAACCTCTAGCATAGTTACTGCTCAGAAAAGTTTTGAGGCTACTTACAGCAGTCTTGAGAGATGAGGTAATACAGATCTGATCCTGTTGTTCCTTTCCATTGAAAATACAACTACAGTACAGTAATCCCTCGGTTAACGAATGGTTCGATTAACAAAATTTCGGTTAACGAATTACCTCCCAAAAGGATCAATTCGGTTAACGAACAAAACTTCGATTAACGAAATCCTTACAACAAGCACGTTTTGTTGTGAGTATCAGCTGATCAGTCGATGGGCTAGTCTGCCAATTCAGTAATCTGTTCTATGTTTACATTCGTTTCCAGTGGAGTAAATATCAAGAAAGTTGTGCTCTTTAATATTTTTGCATTTTTTATATTAAAATTATTAGTCATTTTAAAATTTAGTTAACATATTGATAATATATGCAGTACAGGGAACTAGTTTTTTGTGCGCCCATCAGCCGCTTGACTCACCCACCAGGCGTCAGTTTGGCTTTGTTTACAGTGGCGTGAACATCGATTTTGTTGGTGTCTTGAATATTTTTTGCATTTTTACATTAAAATTATTGGTCATTCTGAAATTTAGTTAACATATTGATAGTATATAGCGCAGTGTAGTGTTGATTTAAACAAAATATCTCGAGTTACACCTAGTGAACTTTAAATTTTATTGGTGAAATTACTGCATCAAGCATGAGTCCCCTGAAAGGTGATTTCTCCTCCATCCCCACTTCTAATTCCCATCATCATCATCAACCAGGAACCTTCTACAAACACACCTCAAAGTAAGTGTACTTTACTGCATTTTTTTTACTTTGTACTGTATGTACCTTTCTGTGAGCTGGAGCCAATTACCCAATATCCCATTGAAACAATGGATTCGGTTATCGAACGACTCTGTGGAACGAATTGTGTTCGTTAACTGAGGGACCACTGTATTACTGTACTCAAGCCATCCTAAAGTATCATGATAAAAAAATTAAGCAATGGTGAATAACTAACAATGAATAACTCCGATAAAATACAATTGTCACCCATAAAATAAAAATATCTTTTCCCTAGAGTGCATCCTGTGAGCCTAAGAAAGAGTGGAACTATCAACCAACATGATTACATGCAAGCCCTTTTGAGTTGAAGATAAATCTCCCTTATCCTTGTATCCATTCAAGGAAAAGCAACCACATCCTGGCTGAGAAGAACCTGTCCAGACTAACAAACTGCTCTTGGAATGCATCCAATGTCCAGATATTTTTTTTTTTTTCAAGCAGTAAATGCACCTTTAAACCTGTTGCTGACAGATTTAAAGTCTCGGCACAAGTAAAAGTAGCAATAAAATAACTTAATTTTATTATAGTTTTAAAAACTAGCTTGTTATAACCAGACATATACAGTACTGATATATTGTATACCGATCCACTAAAGGAACATGGCAAGATGTCATCTCAATGACTCCTATTCACCAGAGATTTTTAATCATGACCAGGAGGAATCAATTGCATCACCTATAATTTTCCATAGAAAATGACCCACTTGGCATTTACAGTACTATAGTTATGTAGAAAGGATGGACAGCCATATACTTTTGCTCTCTGTCCCTTTATAGATCAAGGAAGAGCACAACTAGCAGTAGCTCTCAAACTTATGGGACCAGAAACTACCGGTACTGATGGAACAGTGTGACATACAAGACCACCCAGAACTCTTGTTTGGGGAAGAGTACCACCTGTCAAGGCTTTTGGACCATGAAGACTGGATTAAAAAAACCCAAGCTAAACTACTTAACGTACTGTAATGTGTTCTGTGATCAGGAGACACCCCCAATGACAGTAAGTCTTTAAACAAATAAGATACCAAACAGCCCAACTGGAAGGTTAGTTACCGAGGTCAATTCCACTAGTGTACCATCTTCCAAACTTTCACCCTTTAAACCAGAAAGAAAGGTCACCTTGTCTCCTGCAATGACATTTCCTCAAACCTCAACATTGCTCTTATGTGAAAGCAACATATGGAGGGAGCAGATATTCAAAATGGTATATTCCCATAATTTGTTTTTATACTGAAACAACCTGACTGATTAAACTGAATGGAGACAAGGGAGAAACATTTGCAGTCTGTATCATTTTTCTTAAGATATTAGGACTCCCCTTCAACAATAGATCATGTCACAGATTACAGAGGGAATCTCAACACGATGTAAATCCAATGGTCCTTGGATAAACTAAATGAAAATATGTTCTAGCCAAGAAATAATTCCATATACAGTAAGTATCAACAAAATCTGATAGGGTTACAGTATATAAATTACTGCCAAAATATCGAGTTTCCTAAATGAATAGAGGAAGCAGGTATGCAAAGGCCTACACCCCTGAGCTATGTGACCTAAACAACATTCCACAAGCCATGCATCTCCCTCAACACTTAAGAGGGAAAACAACTAAGAAAACAACCCAAAAGCATAATTCTGAGCTATTAAACAGGATTAGCTGAAGTAGAGTTCTCTTTTAATTATAAAATACCCACTCTCTCAAAACAAACACTGATCATAGGCCAAAAACAATCACATAAAATTTCCAATGAATCACGTGGGGTGCTTCTCAAGTGTCAATGAAAGCTTTCGTAGAATAAGCATTAGAGCTACCACTGCATCCTCAAATCTTGATACAAGCAGTGAAAGTGGCAGTCCAAATTCAGGGAAAACTGGGATGCTTCACAATTACTGTACTTGAACTTGAGGACTACACTCTCACCGAAATAACATAACCTGAAGCACTTGGTTACCTGGCTTCATGAAGGATTTTTTGTGGTTGCCAATAGAAACATGGTAACGAAAATAACGCCCGAATCCACAATATTACACCCAGGTGCGATTCATCCTGAATAGAACGAATGTGTGAACCCAAAACCGTTCCAGATTAGCATTTTCCTGTAATACTCTCCCAGAAACTCCAGTTTGTTCAGTAAACTGCAGCCACACTAGTGGTGAACACAGGAAGCTACAGATATTGTACAATGACTTCTTATACCACCTCACTAACTGCCCCCAGTCAGCTTGAATAACTTGCAAAAGATTTAAAATATAAGAATAAATCTTTATTGACAACAAGACCTCCATATGTAAGCATTGGCAACCACAGTCCTGC